CAAATGTAGCAGGAAGAATCAAATGCAACTTTTGAATTTAACTTAGTTTAGGACAAGAATTCAACACAGTTTTAGACACTTAAAAGACTACAGACAGAACAAAGGTCCAATTAATAAATAAATAACAGCTATAATAACAAAGAACACAGAATGGAGCAATTCAGTAATTTCTAACAATTAATACTACTTTTGTGGGTTGGCAATAATAAAAGCATTCACAATGGTAATAAAGCACTGCCTTTTTTCATATTTTGAAATAGATCTTTAACAGCATTAGTAAATTTGATTATTTCATTTAATAGTAAATATAGTTACGCATGGCAGTGTCCGGATATATGATGTAAACTTTCCAAATTCATGGAATTATGAATTGGAAGGACAAATGTGTGTTTGAATGAGATCAGAAATATAAATTTTTTTTTTTTTTAAACAACTCTAGTTGTTTAGACATAAAGGTCGAATGATCCTAGGAAAGGAGTAGCGTGTTATGTTTAGAGAACATATGAGAGATTTAAGAAATGCACTTGATAAAGTGCTCCATAAAGTGCACATGATCTTTAAGTACACCCTTTCTAGCTCTTCAGTAGTTTTTCCAACAAGTTATGACACATACCATTCTTGACAAAGCAAATCATTAGTACTACACCTCTACAACCAAACTGTAAAGATTTTAAAATACCTTTTACTCATATATGGACAATTTGGTGGCTTATCAGCATTTATTAAACTTCAGGGCAACTTGAGATTTTGAATTAAACTTTTCTACCTGATTTGCAAACAGTAGGCTTCTTATGATTCTCAGCCTGAATACTTACGTTCCTTCAAAGATCTTGTGTTTTGACACATTGTTCAACTGAGATGACTTTCTAGAAGAAATAAATTATTGCTATTCCAGTCAATGTAGATGCTGTTTTTTCCTGTTCATCAGATGACTTAAAATAATGTCTACTGAAACATTCTTTTAACTATGCAAAACTCATAAAGTTCAAAACAATTTCTTACATGATTTAGTACCAGATATTTTAATTCTGCAGGCCACTAGCATCACGTTTTCTATTGTTCTTTTCTGTTTGTTTTTATCCTTTTAGGCCCACGTATTTTTATATCATATTTTGGAAGACTGCCTTTTTGTATTCAAAAGAAGCCCATATATGCTTAGAAAATAATTTCTGTGGTATGGCCAGGCAGAAACTTGTCACGAAATGAGGATCGTGCAGTGATTCAACAAGGGACCCAAAATTTCTTGAACTTGCTAGCACAAAGGGATTTTGAAACTATTTCCACTACACGTCTGATACAGTGTTATTTTTTCATCATGAGAAAAGATTATTAGCTACAAGAGAACTCACTTTTTCTGTGCAAGTTTTTTTTATACCACTACCTTGACAGAAGAACAGTATTAGGCAACATAGGAATGCCAGAAAATACCACACTTTTATTATCTTTGTAAATGCATTTTCAGTCTTGATAACTAAGAGGTATTAGCATGGCATGTCCTGCCTGGACATTTTCACCCAGGAACAGTCACTGTTTACAGATCCAGCCTTTTCAAAACTCTTACACGTCGAGTTTTACCAATTGTCATGGAAAAATATTATAATCCTGGCCAAACCCGGAGAAGATGCAAAGCAAAAGCTGTATATTTCATCATGATTTTTTTTTTCTCTGCTCTGCTCATGGCTCCTATGTCGTCTGGTTCGACCAGATATACAGCCTTTCTGAGCACCCTGTGTGCTATTAGCAGGCAGCTACACTAGTGGATTCCAAAGGCTGTTGCTTGGATGAGTCCAGGAAAGTAGTTCAGCTCCATTTCAGCGAGGAAACAGTTAAAGAGCTCAGTGCTCCCCTGTGCCCGGGAGGCAGCCTTTGTGTTTAACGCTGGCCTGGGCTCAGTTTGGGCCGGAGGTTTGTTTTAATTGGGGGAGGGGGCAGAAAAAGAGGGGACGCTCTGACTTCTTCAATCTGTCTCCTTCTTTTACTGATGTAGCGGAGGAGGAGATTTTCAATCCCACCCAGTCAGACGCAGGCAGAAGGCTCTGGTAAGACTATCCCAGGAAAAGCCACTCGGAGGAAATTCTCAGCAGCAACGGCAGCAGCCGAGCCCGAGCCCGAGCCCGGCGGAGGGCGGACGCCGGGGGTGAGTGCGCGGTATCCCGGGCCGCCTTCCGCGCTTCTCCATAACGCTCCGGATGATGATGAGGGGACGATGGTGCACACACGCGTGCGGGAGGGTGGGAGAGAGGGAAGGAGAGAGGGAGACGGGGACAAGGCAGCTTGGGATGGCTATTACTAAACAAAGTTTAACAGCATATAGGTCTTGTCAGATGCTCCATACAAGCTGCAGAGGTAGCGCAGATTTGCCAAGCGCCCCTTAGATTTGATCTTTCGATAGCGTTACAAGCCGAGAACGTTTTCTTTTGTGTTAGAGGAAGAAATACAAGGGAATTAGCCCAGTAGGAAGGCGCTCGCTGCCTGTGCCGGACTGGGAGACAACCGAGACAAATCTCTCTCGTCAGCAGTATTTTCCTCAGCGTTTTCCTGCCCTGCTTAAGTTTATTTGCTCCTGTTTACATCTCAGCTGCCTTTCGGGCAGATTAATGGCTGTAACGTTTCGACTCGTCCTTAATATTTCGAATAATTTCATTTCCAATCGTATGGGTTCTTCTCGCGAATCTCGGCCCGGGCATTTTTCCGCTCCGTAGCCCGGGCAGGTCGGGAGTTTTGCTCGCTGCGGCTGCGGCTGCTCCTGCGGTGCCGTAGGAGCACAGGGACAGCACGTGCATGTGGCCTCCAGATTTGCACAACAACCTCGCGCACTCCAGGTATTCGGATTACGTGGGAAGGAGAACACCAGATGACGATATTACAAAAAGTTATTACGGATGTCAGTATGTTACTTACATGATCCGGTTTGCATGTTATGGTCTGTAACTATAAATATAAACACTTTGAAAACGTGCACAGAGGAATGAAGGACTGCCAGGAATCTGGAAGAAAATATGCCTAGAAATTATGACGTTCTCTAGTTTTGCTTCTTACGGAAAAGTTGCTTCCGGGAGAGGGAAGAGATGGTAACTGGCAATTTTGTAGCTAGCTTTGCATGATTGTCATGCTACCACCATGTTCATACGATATATATCTCTCTCTCAAATTTTCACAAGAAAACGTCATTAAATAATGAGGATACTAATATAGCCACTAAAGCATGGGGCTGTGGGTTCTGCTCATAGCTCTATCACATTTACCTGGGCAAGTATGAACTAGGAAAAGTCATTTAAATCCTTAGTGATTCAGTTTTTTCATTTGTAAATTGGAGAACCATAGTGATAGTAAATAATACAAGTATGAATACTTGCCTGAAAAGAGTTACAGTCAAATGTGTCTGTTGTTTCTGATACGATTTAGAAACCTAAAGCGAAAGCACTTACATCATGCAAACTGTTGCTAACTGCCCTGAGATACCATTGGAACCGGCATTTCATAAAGAAGGATTTACTATTTGGTATATTAAACTTTAAAATCGAGTGCATAGGAACCCACAGTTGGTCGGATCCTTATCTCAAAAACACCAACATAAAAGACTGCAAATGTGGATCCCTGGTTTAAGAGGGATAGCACTTTACATGCCAGACAGGAATACTCAGGCTAATATTGCATTTGCTGCTGTATATAGATACACACACACTTCTACAGACCACACACAACAGAAGAGGGTAATAGTAGTAAATATTTATACTATGGCTGTCCAGAAATCTTATCAATAAATTATCTCCTACATTATTTCTCTGGTAAATTTCTTGCTATAAACTCTGACTTAATAGTCCCATAGGGAATGAAATTAGGATTCGTTTATTTGAAAGGATCCTCCCAAATCCTGCATGTGAGTCCCTAGATATCAGAAAGTTATAAATACTTTACTTTCTACTCTTCTTTTGGCAACACTGTGGCACTTTGTCTTGTTTTGCAGATATGAGCCATGTAAAAATATCTTTATCCTAAATTAAACTGTGACTTCAAGGAAATGGACTTGAGTGGCCTCCTTGGCTTCAGTAGAGGTGTAGTATCTCTACTCCTTGTGGCAGGGAGCCAGCTCTGGTGGTAACACACAGGCAGTTGTACTTACTGGGACAGAATGCTATGATGCTCCCTTTCCTATCTGGAAGTGTCTTGAGTTGTTGCTTAGAATACTAAACCAAGTACTTTTTATCTTTAAAAGAGCTTAAATTTCCATAATGGGCTTCCCCGTGTCTAAGTACCGAGCATGAGTTGCAATGACATTCAGGAATCAAATGACACATCAAGCCTGAAGGGCTTTTCCCAGCCAGAGGTGTACCCTGAGACTACAAAAGTCTTCCTCCTAATATTTAGGGACTTTGGATATGGTCCAAAGTTTGATTTGAAACACATATATTTTCAGTCTTCACTTGAAATCCAGGTAATTATAAAGTCAGAGAAAAATAATATAAAGCCTTGTTGTTGCAAGATATAAAGAATACTCAGAAAATCAACAAATTTACTACCTTTAATTACCAATGCAGTGCTGTTACCTTACTTTTTCAAAGAAAAAATAACAACTTTTTATTTCAGCTAAAGCATCATTCAGCAGTCTCCAAGGCCTCTCTTCGTTGCTAGACTTTTTTTACAAGACTATATCTTAAAACAGAACTTCATCCATCATTTTTTTTTCCCAATCATATACAAATCCTGTCTCAAACTAAAAGGGTTTCACAGAATCTCATTTGGAGAAGCTATCAATTACTTATGGAATTTTTTGTGTTTGCCTTTTGTCAGGCAGTCAATGTGGGTAATGTAGATTTCAGAGTAGCGCAGTGATTATAAACAGGTGTTTATACATATGTGCTGTAGAGAGCCTACATTCAAATACCCTTCCTAAGTGAGGAACAGGGTGTGTTAGTCTACCTCTCCTACTCCTATTGTTTTTTTTTTTTTTTTTTTTTTTTTTTTTTTTTGTTTTTGTTTTTGCTTATCGTTTCTCTCTGCAGGTGAAGAGGTGAGAAGTATCTCACTGAAATACTGAAAAAAAACCCTCTCACTGAATTTGCTCCTTTGGGACTTTAGGATGGAAGCCTTGTGTTTAGGAGTTTCCTTGCTGCTGCTGGTTCCAGGATTTGTCCTCAGTGACAGCTCTGACAGATACACTGCCAATCAGAGTGACTTGGGAAACTACTTTTCCACTTTCTCAGGGATCGAATCCAGCATACTCCTCACCACCAGACAGCCCCTGGTGTCCAACCAAACTGTCAAATGCTCCCAGCAGACTAGGATTGCTGAAACTTTTAAATACATTAACACGGTGGTATCTTGTGCTATTTTCATCGTTGGAATGGTTGGGAATGCAACTCTGCTGAGGATCATTTACCAGAACAAGTGTATGAGGAATGGCCCGAATGCACTGATAGCCAGTCTGGCACTAGGAGACCTTATCTATATCGTCATTGATATTCCAATCATTGTGTACAAGGTAGGATGCAACAACAATACATTCTCATTGCAGTTTCCCTACCAGTACACTGTTTGTTCTCTGTGGTTACTCCTTTACTAAGTAGTGCTCTTTTGTCAATGAATAGCCCACTTCAGAAAAAGTACAACTCCTTTTTGTTCTACAACAAAAAGCTTGCTCTCAGGTCTCACCTCCATAAAGAAGAAGTGTTTCTCCTGTTAAAGATGATGTAGCTCTTAGCTCTAACCAAAGCATGGCCTTGGGCATTTCACAGGAGCTCTTCATTTATTATAGCTACAATAGCTAGTGAAAGAATTTATGAGGGAAGACTTTTTATAAGCTCTTCTCCTTGATGGACGTACAGCATTGGACTAGTTGCTATTTTTGGAATATCCTATGCTTACTTGATGTTTTTACAGAAAATACTCTCTGTGATCTGCAGGCTTCATGTTACAACTTAGCAGAGACAGATTATGTCAGTTAAGTTGAGTGTTACAGTTTTGTTTTAATATTCATTAATAGCAGATTCTCAAAATTATTCCAGAGTTAGTAAAATCAATTATATCACAGAACATTTTTGAAATATTAAATTTCATCTGGATTTGGCAAAGTATAAAAAGGATGCTCAGCAATTCTTAAATCTGGCATAAAGTTATCCTGTCCTAGTTTTTTTATTTTCCATTTAAATTAAACAAAGCCATAAAGCAGTGCTTTTTCTGATGCAATATATGTTTACTAATGTAACTTGCATGATTCCAGGAAAGGCTTGAACAAACAGAACCGAGTCCTCCTTTAATATATCAAGCTAATATTAAATCATCTTAGAAAATTGACAAAGAATTTTTAAGCTTCTGTCTGTATCTTTGTGGATGGTATACAGGTGTCTAGCTGATAGAATATTATAATTTTTCTTTCTTTTCTCAGTAAAAATTTAAGGTGTCTCTGCTAGTAAATAAAATACTAAGTAATATAATGAAAAAAACCACTCCTCACAATTTTGGCCCTTAAAGAATCTAGAGACTTAACTTTTATTTCTATGTGTTTTAAACAAAACATTTTAATGCATAACTTTATAATAAGTAGTGTCCTGTGGTTTCAAATGGATTTTAAAATTAAAGAAACAGTGAATTGAAAAGACATATTTTGTATCTATATAGCTATTGACATCAGAACTATTGATCTGCGTTATAACACAGGTATTGAAAGGACAAGGTCATAAAAATTTGAATTCATTAACAGATTAAAAATACGTATATGTGCATACATTACATTTGTACAGAGGCATATTATCTATGGTAAAACGCAATACCTGGTTCCGACCTTCCAGCAGCATAAACTACAGATAAGTCTTTTAACTTTATCTGGTTTTAATCTAATATGAATTGGAAAGACTGTTAATAATAATGGACATGATTTAATGGAAATGCTACTTTCCACTTTTCAATATTCTACCTGGAAAATTAAATAATCAATTTGTTGATAAGATAGCAGATATCTGTAGAGTAGTTTGGATTTACAAGTTGATGAGAAAGATTAGCCTCTGCCTGATTTGAGATTCACCTGTCTTCCATAGCTGTGGGGATGCCTAATGGGACATGGAATTGGAGTTCTGCATGTTTTCAGTATTCTTAGTGAACTGGACTCATAGCCTGGACTGCATCTCCCATGATCCTTTACAGTTTCCTCCCTGATGAATTATCCTGATGTCTTTAGGGATAACTGCTCAGGCAGTGCTCTTACTTCTCATGGTATTTCTGATAAGAAATTTTAAGCAGAAATGGCATGCGTTTTTTTTTCAGAGCTGAGTTTGGGAAAGAACAGGTATTTTTATTACTTTTTTTTTTCCCTAATCTTTCAAGAGCTTTGCTGCTTCTTCACAAAGAGGAATGGAAATCTGGAATTAATTTTGCCTTTCAGAATTGTCTTTTGATGGTCTAATGAAAATTCTTTAGAAGTTTAGTTAAAGGTAACAGACAATATTTTTTACATCCCTTTTATTATTTCATAATAATTTTTTTCTATTAATTTTCTGACACTTCTTCTACATTCTATATGTTCACTTGCCTTTCTATATCTTATATGATGAGCTAAACTGTGGTCCTGAATATCTCTGTAGAAATGAAATTATTTTAGCCTATATGAAAATGTATTTCTATACTGCAGAGTATTTCATAAACAAAGGCTATGAATGAAACTGCAGCCCCTTGACATCAGTGTATGTCAATTGCCACATGTAAAAGTTAAAATTGCTTTCACAAGCGTAATTCTAGCTTTTAGTAATTTTTTGAGTGCTTGAACCTCCAAAATAAATTACTTTAAAATTACCATATACAACCATCTTGTTGTAGAGGTTAGCTGCATGTATTCTGATACAGGGAAGCGTTTATACCATTTATAAGGGAGCTCTAGTACTTTTGATAAGAAATTCTATTATTATAAGGGAGCTCTAGTACTTTTGATATGAAATTCAATTATTATGTATAGTCCATTTCCCATAAACACCATTCAGTAATATGTCTACTTATATTTGGAGTGGATTTAAAGTCTCTTAAATGGTATTCCTGTTTGTATCACTAGGGATCCTAAAATCTGTGGCACCATTTAGCTCCTTTTGTTGCGTGACAATATGAAGGGTGGCCACTGGAAATACCACAATTTGAAAGTGAAAGTGATAGTCTTTTAAGGAAAAAAATTATTGAGGTTTTATTTTTGTTTTAAAGATTAAGTTTTAAAGTTTAAGTTTTAAAGTATTTTATACATTGAGTTCTGAACTTTATTTTAAAGATTCTTCTACCTTCAGAGGCAGCCTCATGTTGAAACACATATTAGTATCATATATAAACAAATGGTGCCCAACACTTAATGCCTTATAAGTCATATCTTCATTTTAAGGAGGACACAACAGCTCTGAAATCAGAATTAGAGTAGACAAGCATTCATCTGCATATTAAAATAACTGATAGTACAGTATTAAGATGGCCACACTGTATAGAACAAAATGTGTGATACTATGTAATTATAATGTAATACCAGAAATAATCACTTTCCTGAAACATAAAGTAGCCTTAACTATTTTGAAACTACTTTCAAAAGAGAAGTAGATAATTCTACTGATATTCAAATCCATTTTACAATTCCTTAGAAAGAGGCAGCTAAAGTTTATAGTAACTGAAAATGTAAGGTCCTAGGAGAATTGAGGCCATCATTCTGTTCCACGTTTACGCAAGTAACGAAGATGTGATGTTGGGAAAAGAAAAAAGAAGTTATGTAATTTATGTCAGCTAAAGATATGGCCACAGGTGTTTGACATTTTTATCCTTTCTTCACAGTACAGGAGGCTCAAAATTCCCCCTTACTTTCTCCTATTACTGTAATTATATAGTGGATTCCCCTTAGCAATTTGTTAAATGGATTGAGATGTGAGTAATATTCACCAGCCTCCTTTGAAGATATTCTGGATGTATTAAAGCCCAATTACACTTAATTACTGTTAGTATATACATTTGTAGTATCAAATCAATATCAAAAATTGTAACAAATTAAGCTTTACGGGAAGGGTGCCAGTTATAAATCCAGCCTTAATAGACTGAAGTAAGACAATTTCATTTTCAATCACACGTTCATAGTACCTAGACCCAAATAGTTTCCCCTTTACCCAATTTACCCATAGTTTTACCCATCTTTACCCATACCCATCTCAGACATTCAATATGTCAAAGCCTCGAAATTGGTCAGAATGACTTCTTTGCAGTGAAAAGAAGATTGGGAAATACTACTTTTATGTTTTACACTGCAGTAGAGGTAGGGTTAAGGCACTCAAGAAGAGACAGTTTTCATACCTCCTTTTTCTAGTATCAAGTGGCGCAGCAGGTAGTCAAAAGCTGCTGCATCACCTGCATTACCCATCACTACCACGTGTATTTGTAGCAAATAAGTTAAGTTTGGATGCAATGCACAAAAACTTCTTTAGAGGACTGCTTTCCATAAGAAAACTAGACAGTTTTCTAAGGCTGTGCACAGGCAGCAGCAAAATATCCACAGCACCACTATTGTCTTGGCTGTGCTATAAGCTTTGGAAAGCCCCTATGGCTGCTGCTGCTGTCACTGGCTAAAGTTTAGCAGAGCAATAGCAAGAACAACAGGTGCTCTCCACAGAAAAAGCTGTTCACAGCTCTTTCCTGAGCTCATGGAGCTAGAAACGCTCTAGGCCAAGGCTCTCACCTTTGGAATGGCAAAATTCAGTTTTAACTGTGTTATTGGGAAGTCCTGAGCTGTCTCTGCTTCCATTTTTACGTAATGTAGAGAAAAACATTTAAATGAGTTGTATTTAATGAAAACTGACCTACATAGGATTGACATAAATTATATTGCCTTACATCTTAATACGCTTAACTCCTTAAACCATTAGTTTATAAAGTAGATGAAGTGAATTAGCCAGCTTTAAACTTGTTTCTTTAAATGTGAATATCAAGCATTTTCCTAATTATTTTACTGGTATAAAGTGAAAGACATCTGCCCAGAAAACAAGCAAGCATATCCAGTGCTCAAAGAGCTCAAGAAGATGATGTTTTCTTTAATAAACTAAGGTTTTTGTTAGTAAATCGGTGTTCATGCTTACCTGAGTTGCAACAGCATCTAAATCTGAGTAGTCCACCTAGAACACTATGGGTCTAAATGTAAAAGGTAGCTGGCAGTAAGCAAGCACCTTCAGCCATTTTGTCGTCAGTACAGGAAGACTTAGATAAGACATTTCTAGTCACGAATGTTTTTCAGCATCAGAGCAAATGTGTGTTAGACCAATCCCTTCTTAATCACAAATTATTTGGCATACTTGATTGCCTTTACTGAGAGAATTATTATACATAAGCAAGGATGATGATTAAACACATTAGGACGGATCCTGTAGGCCAACAGAGCAAGTGACATCCGCAGTAGCTTAGTTTTGTGCCAAAGGAGTATAAGGCCAAGCCCACAGCACAGGTAAAGTTAAGTGTACTTCGAAAAGAAAGCCCCTTTTAAAA